GAGAAGCGGGAAAGCGCCACAGTGGAGGCAAACAAACACGTCTGTGGGAACATGCAGGTTTCAGCACAGCTGTACACGTTATCTGACTTACCTAAAACGTTGAGCCTGCTGAGCTAGAGGTGCTGGATACCTTCTGTTTGGAGAATGGTACAGCTGGGAAAGAACAGCCTGACTGGTTTTTTGGCTTGGATTGTTAGCAAACTTTACAGTGATGGGCTCTGTGGCACCTGGAGGTTTCTGGCCATTCAAGCCCTTGATAGCTTCTTCTGCTTCAATTCGCTTGTCAAACCGGATAAACCCCACGCCCCTTGATACCCCTGCACAACGTGAAGGAAGCATATAATAATTAATTCAGAGACTCCAGAATATTAGTTGTCAACATTTTATTTTCAAGGCCAATTGCTATGTTAATGGTCAATCACTGTGAAGACATGACAAATTTTGAGCATAAGAGAGCCGAGCTTTGGCTCAGAATAATAATTTTCTACTGTAATTTTAATTTTTAATTTAACTGATGTAAGACTCATTTGTGCAAAAAGCTTGGAGGGTTGAGGGAAAACAGGAGAAAGAACTTAAACCTAGTGAGTCAAAGAAGAACTCTGAAACAAAGCAATTTTGGTGAGGATGGAGATGAACTCAGAACCAGCTGCACTGTAACCTCCGGTCAGTTTACACTACTCTGCAGTATCTACATTCACAGAAATTCCATAAATAGCTTAGTTATCTGCTCTCCAGCAGCAAAAAATGGCATATGCCCTCCTGCAGTACCCCTTGAAGGTCCCTTTGGGGCAAATATGCTGAGAAGATGATGACATGCAGGTTCTAGACTGCAGTAACAGGAATTATGGGTATGTCTTAACAGCCCATGGTTACCTTTAAGTATAAGATTCATTTTCAGTGTATCACCATACACCATTAAGTGTTATTTTTGAAGGACACTTTTCTTGGTATAGAGAAGTCAAACACAACATGCAAGGGGATCAGCAAAGTGAAGGAAGGTCTTAGGAACATTGCACATCAAAAATTTATATTGTCTTAGACATAAACACTAAGGTGTCAACACTTGAATCAATTAACGTTAAAGCTACTAACAGCCAACATTACTTGAATGCTTTGTTGTAATATTCCTAGAGCCATTTAGAGGCCCTTTATGTTTTGGTTCATAAACAATAATGATTTAAACCATCAAAGTGACAATATGCGGGTATAAAAAAAGCTTCAAAGAGGCAAATGTCACAGTTTCAACTTCACATTTTTTATCTGTCAGTTTGTGTCACAACCTTATTATTCATATCATTTTGAGCCTACCTCTCCCAAATTACTAAGAAGGAAGGAAGAAAGCTTAAACCTGAACAACAGTCTCTATGCTAGAAAACTACTGTGCAAATACCAGGATTTATTAACACTTAGAATTATCCAGCACATTAGAAGTTTAATTACATTTACTTACTGGCCCATTTGTCAGACTCCATCTATTTCTATGCAAGAATATACAGGAACATACTGTAAATGATTATTTATTGCAAAGACTGGAAATCTGACCCACAAATTTGCTACTTCTATGCATAAGTATTTGGCCTTTAGCTTTCCTTTCCATGGCTCTCTACACTCTCAGCAATTCACACTATTAAAACACTGTATAATGTGTCAATATTGAGATTTCTTTTAACTGCAAAGGACTACATACAAGTTCCTCTGCAGGTCAGAGGAACAATTCCTCTACAATCCTTTCAAAGTAAGACAGTTTGCAAAGCTTATGACCTCCTACAGCTGAAAGCTGTTTTTCACGCACAAGGACATCTGACTTTGAAAAGGTACAACTATAAAAAAAGTCAAACCTAGCTAATCACAGAACTTACCTGCTCCTGAGGAACTCAAAGTTTATGCATATGCCCCAAGTTAATGAGTCAACCTTGAAAACAATCTTAACAGCAATTACAAGAGTGGGTCTTCTGTAATCCTAGCCTCAGAGAACCAGCTGTGCATTTTTGCATAAAGTTTTCTTTTTTAGAAAAATAAAGTTTAATAGCATTTTGTAAGGCGCTGAGAGACTATTTTCATGCAGCAGCTTGGCGAGGAAGATTATAGCAGCTGTAAATTTAGTACAAGTCATCAAACAGTCTTCAAACCTGCACCTTCATGGTGGAAATGACTCAAGCTGGCTCAGTACACTCCACAGTCTATTTTTGCCCATGCATATTTATGAACAATTCCAGGAGAAAAATGCACTTTCTGGTCTACATTATAGAGACAAGATCACCGTACTGAAAGATGAAATATTTCTTAAACTGCCAGTCCAAAAAGGAAAGGCCATGCAAAACTGCCTACTTACCAGTGACTTGGTCAACTAGAATACGAGAAGTAATAATGCGTCCATACTGGGAAAAGATCTGTTCCAGTTCTTTCTGGGTCATTGTTTTTGGAAGTCCACTAACATACAAATTTGCATCTCTGATAGAAGCCGAACTTGGTCGCGCATAGGAAACCTTAGGGGAAAAAAAAAAAACAAAAAAAACCCCCTAGAAAACCAACACTTTTAAACCAGATGAAATAGGTTAGTAATTTGTTCTGAACGTGGGTCACTGGGCCTTTAGATTTGTTTTTTATTTTTCTGGAGCCGGCTTCTGAAAATACAGATGGAATGCAACATAGACCACATAGAAGAAGGTGACTGCATGGACTCTCTGTAATTGGAGAACTACTTTCAAATAAATGAGAAAAAGCTAAGTACACACTCCAGCAAGCCTTGGTGAAGAAAATGTTCTCCATTAGCTTACTGTAAGATTAAAAAGACAAATTTAAGAAGTTCCAAGAATGTCTTTTTAATTCTCATTAAAAAGCACTAAAACATACAAGAAATGAAGATTTCAGTGTGATATCTAGGCCAAAAGCACAAAAAGGCAGTCCGAAGCACTTAAAGGTTTCCAAATGTTTTTCAAGTGCATATACATGTGTTGAGCATCCTGTCAAATGACACAATCATTCATGAGGGCAAGATAAACTCTGCTATATCACTTTCACAGGCCTCAGAATGAATGGCAGAAGCAGGAATCCAACCTCTATTTTGACTGTTCAGCAGCAGCTTGCCAATTTTAGCAACACAGAGGTCTTACAACTAAATGTCAATTAACAGTGAGATTCTCAGATCCTTTTGGATAGAAAGTTTTTCACTTCGTGCCTCCAAGTGTCAGTCAGAAATATTTTAAGATGATCAAGTATATCCTTCAACCTTTAGACATGTTACAAAACCAGCATGTTCATTACTTTCCGCTGAAGTCTGTACAAGTGGTCTTATGATTACTACAGGAATGATTAAAACAGAACATCTGTGCTTCTTGAACATGACAAAATACTTTTATCTGGGGTTCTCACCGTGCAAAACATAAAAATAAAGAAGTAGTGAGATTTATGTCCTTTCCTTCCCTCCCCTGCAATTAGCCTGCACTATTACCCAACAGTGGGCAGCTGAAACTTGATTCTGTAAATCTGTCTTTTGCCTAACTCTTTGATATTTCTTTTCAAATCCTTCCTGTCTCATTTTCATGCAGATCAGCAGACTCCTAAGACTCCTGTGGTAGCAAAACAAAAGAGAGCACCCTGGAGATTAAACAAGCACTATCCTGAACACTGCTGTGATCCTTCAAGTTCTTCCCAGAGGCTTTATGCAAGGTACCTTTGTGCTGGCTGAACAGGGCTGACCTAAAAAACTTATAGCTGTCCAACACAGCTGTAAGTGTGGCTCACTTATAGCTGTCCAGCTTTGTGAGCCACACTGCCTTGTTCTTTCTACATGACAGCCACACAAGAGCTGAAGACCTATGTTCAAAGTTACAGCATGAGACTAAAGGTTGCCTGCATTCAGTCAAAGTAGCAACAAGGACAGTGATGGCCACCCATTTCTACCAGGTAGAGAAATAACAACAGCTAAAGAATGAACAAACTTGCCCAACTTGCCCATTTGGCTCTCAGTTTCTTTAAGAAACAAAGTTCCATGTCTCAGAACTTGGCAGGATAATTTTCAGGAGAGTAAAGGCCAAAGAACGGAGTCAGACTGCCTTGGGGACAGGCCTAGACACACTAAATGCATGTATTAGCAAAACCAAGGAGTTCTGAATAGCTAAGTCAATGTTTGTTTTCAAAAGGAACCCTTCCACCAACATCTCAGAATTTAACTCCACACAGTAGGCAGGGACAGCAACAAAGTCCATTTATAACTGAACACAATGAACTGTTTTATAGTTTTAAATTATCTTTGGAATTGAGATACACTGAACAGTGTCCTATCCAATCCTTTTTAAGCTGTCAGATGTTTTTCTTCCTATATGCATTTTGTCTGGTCCTCTGGAGAAAATTTCAAATTCCTGCAACCGTCAGCTAAGGAAGGAAGAACAACAGTAACTTTTCTCTAAATTTAACAAAACAGCTCTGCAACTGCTAATCAATATTTCACTACTGAGAAACTAAAACCCCCATGGTTTTCTGTAGGTATTGTGGACTTTACAATAGCTTTGAACTTAAGTAAATATATGTTACAAAGCTCCTTTCTACATGCACTCTTGCAAGTACTCACAACAGAGGTTATAGAGTATAAGCTCTTTTCAAACAGGACATCCTCACTATATGATGGGGCAGTGCACACTCAGACTTTTACAGATGTTACAAAACGTGGACGAGTGACTGACAGACCAGACATCCTGAGGGACTTCAACAGACTGGAGAACTGGGTAAGCAGGATACTCAAAGAAATTCAAGAAAATCAGTCCTCCCCCTGGAGAGAATAATCCCATGTACCACTACGTGCTGGGAGCTGACTGGCTGAAAAGCAGGTTGTCAGAGAACCCTGGAGTTCTTGTAGGCATCAAGCTGATCATAAGCCAGCGGAATGTACCCTTGTGACACAGATGGCCAACAGCCACCTAGGCTAAATTAGCAAAAGCATCACCAGCAGGTCAAGGGAGGTCATTCTTCCTGTCTACTCAGCACTGGTGAGACACTTGCATGGGACTGCCTCCAGCTCTGAGCTCCCCAGTGCAGTAAGATATTTTTTACACCTAAGATATAACACCAATCACAGGTTACCCTTCATGGAAAGTACCCCAGTGACTACTCATGTATCCTAACTGACATATACTTGAATCTGGGCAATTAGTCACAGGAATAACACACATTAAACCAAAATCAGCAGTTCATCACCAATATCCAAACACTATATCTAGCCATCTTGCTAAGCGTCAGAAGTTCTGGCCAGGCAAGAAATCAAAGAAATATTAACTTCAGAAACCCAGTGTAATTTAATTTGATTTTTTTTTTTTTGGCAAAATATTACTAGCCATCTTTGATTCTTGTAAGTCAGCACCACATAGAGAAAAACGAGGACACCATAAAATATTACTGGTGTAAGGGAATTAATTCCTATGCAGGAGAACATTGCCTGGAGTAAGGGATATACAGTTTCTTTTCTCTGTTGATGTCAAAGTCCAGTGATTTCTGTTGTGATACAAATTTAAAGCAGAGACTCCCTAGATTCACCTCCCTACCTGTATCCTGTCAGTTTGATCATTCTGTAATTACTTGCTGATAGTTCTAGATTTAGTCTCTTCAAACAATTTACATACAGACTGAATTAACAGCTGTGCTAAGATTTTAATTCCACAGCTACTTCAACAAGTGAACAATTACAGTTATGCAATGTCAAAACCACTGAACAGAAAGCAAGTCAAGAAACCGACTGAAAGCCTACGGTTTTAAATATTTGATGATGACACACACTGTACAACACTGAACAGCACTACTCTGGAGATATCAATTTAAAAAACAGTTTTACTGAAATTTTCCACTGTGGTTACTAGGAAAGACACTTGTTTCTAGAAATGCAAACATTACACCACCAAATTCAAGCATTTTCACCACTGCTTTAATATTTCATTTAACATCACGATGAACTAGTTTACAATTTTCAAGTGACAGCTGTGAGAGTTGGCAGGTTAAGCAAAGAAGTTGCCAAAAATAAGAGACACAATTCCTACAAATGAATTTTTTGGTTTCTTACTATCTGCTACTTCCTACAGACACTTCAGTACCACGCTTGAAGCTCTTTTTTCTTATAGCTTATTATTAGTATAAAGCGCAAATAGAAGTAGTATTTGTATTCTCTCAAAGAACTTCAGAATTTACTATCACTTTCTCCTAAGCACCTCTGCTTAACATATTCTCAAAAGTTTTTAAATCTGAAATCTTTAAATATTAAAATCAGGATTTCAGTCAATGTTTACAGTCATTAACTACCAGTGTAATCTTTCAGCTTAGAACACTGCTTGCCCTTCAGGATAGTATCCAGTTCTTTTAAAATGCATGCTTCAGTGGAAAAAAAAAATCCAGTAAAAAATTACCATCCAGTGTGTGCAGATGAAAATGAGTTAAACCTATCTGCAAAGCAGACAGATTTATACTGAGAAGAAGAAAACATTAGGAATATGTAAGCCCTCTTGACAAGTATAATAAAAACAAGGACGTATTTTTGTTACAGCAATGTTCTCAGAGGCCTTTGTGCCAGGCACCGTGCACTTAAATTTGTATGAGACACCATGACTCAAGACCTCTTCTTAATTCAATTTCTAATAAGAAGATGCTGCAGCACACCTCAAAGATGAGGTCCGAGCTGTCACTAGCCAGCAATACATTGTCTGATACAGGAGAGTACATTGCTGTATATTCATCAAGTTTACTTCCTGTATCCCCTCGAATGAAAAGATAGCTCCACTCAGACACAGACTTCCCTCTGCAAAGGTGACTTACACTCAACTCTGTAGAACTACCAATGCATACTGCTCAACACAGTTTCACTTATGTATGTAGATTAAGATAATCAATATAACCATATCTGATGAAGCTGGTGCTTTCACAGCCTGTTGTGCAACAGGCAATGCATTCAAAGAAGGGACACCAAAGTCACAGCCTTTCAGCATTATCAGAAGAGTGCCTGTGCCAGTGTCACCAATCTGAGGTCGGTCATGGGATCCACATCTGCTCTGTTCCCAGAGGGAACAGCTGAGGGCATGAATGGACCAACCTGACAGGCTGCTCCTCTGTAAAACCAGACTATCAGAATCAGATTTGGCCATGAAGTAGTAGCAGGCTTAGAATATGTTCAAAGTGATTACTGATGGGCACAGTAGTTCACATGAACATGACTAGACAACACAGAACTACCTGTATTTTATAAAGCTCTTTCTTGGAACAATTTTTACCTGAATAACATGGTTTTGCCAAAGAGCTGTATACTAACTATATCATAACTATTTAAGACTCACAAATATAAACCCAACACCAATTTTTGAGTAAGAGGAAAAAATAACACAAGTATTTATTTTACAAAATTAAGGAATGAGCACTCTGCAGGTAACTTCCATTGAAATAAAGTGAAGTCTCCTTACAGAAAGTCCTTCGCAGCTTTTAGTAGCTGTTTATAGCAAAGTCTTCTAATTTTACATATTTAGAACCTTCACTCTAAGCATGTTAGCATACAGTATAGAGCCTTCCACCAAATTTCAGATTAGTTACTGGACAGAGAACAGTCTGCTGAGACAACAATGAGTACTGGAGCTCAGAAAGACTTTTTACTTTCATTCCTCTTTGACCACGTTTCTTTATTTAACTCTCATTAGTCAGGAAACAACCACCACAACCTCTTGTGCTACTTGCCTGCAGCATACCCCGCACTGACCCCACTTTCCAGCATGCAGCAAGCTGAAAGCTCTATCACCACAACAAAGCTAGGAAAATGAGCTAGCTGCTCAAGTTCAGCTTCTACACTAAAACATGAGATGGGGAATTATGCGCTACAATCACAGAATAGCAGTTCTGCTGTTTTGCCTTTAAAGGGATCAATACAGGAAAATACTTTAAAATCTGCAGTCTTGTTAAAAATAAGCATTTAACTTAGAATTTAAGTACAAACAAAAGATACGAAACAAAAGGAGATCCAATCTCCAAACATTTTCATTTTCCTACTTCTCACATACTTTTACTGTCAAAAGACCTTTCTCCACACTTTACATTCATGGTTCGGATCTGGTAACACCCCCTTTTCCCACTCATGCCCAAACAGTGAGAGCACCAAGAATTTCAGACACTTAGAATGGAAAAAGTAGTCAGATTTCATAGAGAATAAGGGTATGCAGCATAATATTAAGCCCTCTACGCAATACAACAGAACAAAGTCTCTGAACAACAGACCCCAATTATCCTCATGCTTTTGGAGTTGAGGTAGATTTGTTCACACATTTTCCCTTCTTCTGAAGGAAATAAATGAACTTCAGTTTCTCTGTGTTTTGTCGAGGGAGCTGCTACTATTGACAGAAACTGTGGCAAGCTCATCTCCTGGGTCTCTCTTGCACTATTCCATGGGCACATCTCCTAGAAAGGCACACAAAACATCTATTGCCACAGTTATCACTTCATTGAAGTATCTCACAGCCTTTCAGGAAAAACTATTACTGCATAGATAAAAGACACGCAGAGTCAATATTTAATATGTTAAAAAAACCCACCCCAAAACACAAACAACAACAAAAAACCAAGCAAAAGAAAACACTAACTTGGAAGCTGCTAGCTTAACAGAGATCTGTTTATCTCAAGACTTCCATAATTTCAAAGGTAAGCAAAACCATATTTTACAAAATTTAAAGCATTCTTCCAAAGAGAATGTAAAAAACCTCCATACCTAGGAAAGCCATAGCCTACCTAAAGGATTTTGCCTAATTAGAGGACTTAGTACAGCATGGGAAAAATCAGAGTACAAAAGATGGACTATCAATCTCAGCAGTAACAAGCAGTTTTTCCCTAGTTTTGTTGGCATTTTTTTGCTTGCTTAAAGCTTGGCTTTTGAGCAAAGCTTGCAGTCTTCCTTCAGCTCCATACAGTACTGCTGGCCCCTTTGAATATGCCCATTTCTGTGTTAGAAACACCCAATGCAGCTCAGAAAGGACTTTACTGCACCTACTGAGGCTTTATGTCTGCAAACCTGCTCAGCAGCCTTATGATGACCTGCCCTGGTCCAAGGATCCTCTTCCTCAGAGAAAGCAAGGATGGACTCTTGTAAGAAACTCCAATCAGTAGCAACATGGGGCTCAAACAGAAAACAGACTATGTCATTGGTGAAGGTGAGATTAGCACATTTTATGGTTTGGTCTGACACACAAATGAACAACCGTGTGGCCATAATGTGGTTTACAGGAAGTGACAACAACATGCTTTTAGAAGTGAATCCTCCTCTCAGTATTATTCAGCTACGGGAAAAACAAGCAGTCAGTTTAAGCTAGTTAAGTAACATTCAAAGTCAGAGGAGATTTGAATTTCAGCAAAGAACGAATTTTACCTGGGGGTGAAAAGGCATGTGTGTGTGTATGTGCAGTATTAAAATGAAAATGCTGTCAAAGCTTTAACTGTTAACACAGTTAAAAACCTGCATAACTACAATTTACAAAACTCCTGCAGAAATTTAAGAAAAAACCCCTACCTTTACCTTTGTTTCAAGACAAATTGTTCTGCCTCAGATCTGCTAGAGCAGTTAAAATTTTACCTTAAGAATACCTTAAGTCCTGAGTATGTAGTTACCCTGTCAAGACCACTACATGTTCAGCCTCTCTCTCAATCTTTGCTGATTGATAACATCAGTAAAAATCACTGGCTTTAATTAAACCTCCACATAGAATTCCCTTTTGCCCCTCACTAGAACAATGTTCTTTAATGCTGGGGGAAATGGGGGTGAGAAATAACAAGGTAAGGAGGGTTTCTCTCACCTTTACAGCTCACTTGCCCTCTGGCATTTTAATAGACTTTTTACACAATTCATTGTATTTCATTGCTACCCAGAGACATTACTTAATGAAAAAATTACTACAAAGTGATACTACCAAATTTTTTCTCCACAAGTATCAGTGGCAAAGACAGGAACAATCTCAATCTTTTACATGCTACACTAAACTCAGAAATCAAACCATCATGTTTCTTTTCAGTATTTTGTTATTTTCCATTAAGTGTAAAAAGCATTTTCAAGAGCAGTACCATTGGTAAAATTTAAGGGTGGAGCTGTTGACCAGCTAAATTGGAGTATAATTCCTTTAAAATGAATCTTCTTGTAAATCTAAGTAATGGTTCAGGGCACCAAGTGAAACTGCATTACATTATGCCAAGTTTTAAGGACACACTGACTCAAAGGACACTAATGAAGTTGCAGCACATCCCTCACTTCAAAAGCCTTCCCATACTGTACTGCACTTCTTTGGGCATTCATAAAGCTGATATTTTAGTACTCACTCTTCTACTCAAGTCCTAACTAGTTCTTCTCATTACACTGTTTTCTACAGGAGGGCAGTCAGTTAGGTGATGATGACAAAATAGAACATCTTGTACTTGTAGCCAAAGAATTTGTCAAACTTCATTCCAGCACCAAGGTTGGCAGAATGTTACATGTTAAGCCTGTTTTTATTTAAAATATATGCAAATTTACAAAATAGTGGGAAGAAAACCTACGGATTTAATACTTTAGATAAATTATTTCTTAAATCTCTATTCCCTTGACAGGTAATAATTACCCATGTAAACATCCCAATAATCCAAAGAGCTTCAGAGGAGGAAAACCCTATTAAATTTGACTTCTAAGCAGCACTAGGCTAGGTAAAACACAGCTAGATAATCAATGCTATCTTAAAATAAAAGGTCTACTCCCAGGCCTCTAGCTGGACAGACTATTTTTTTCTGCTTTCAAACACATATTTGCATACATGTTTATGCATCTCACTGGCATTCTTGATTAACAAAATTTGCATGCAGGGGCTCTGCCACTTCAGGCCCTCTCACACTAGTGAGCTAGGGATAGAACAGTGGAAGCTCCTCAGCTCTAGTTCACCTTAAAAGGGAGGAATGAGCACCACATGATGACACTGTCATCTTCAGTGTCCCCTTGGCAGCTACAATCCACAAAGGACTGTGCCCAGCATTAAAGCAGCTTGGCATTCATGAAGAAAAGCCAGATATTTTCCTGTGTCTTTCTGCTACCCCTAACAGTGCAGGTAAAAAGCTGCCTACCTTGCACAGCTCTAAGCCAGTTTAAAGACAGGCCATTTGTTTGCCTGCTCCTTTTCAGACCAAGAACCTGAGTACACCTTCTTGTTAATGCAGGAGTCTTTTATTCCACATTTTATTCCTCCCTTGAAAGATATTCCTATTTATATAATTTCACAATAAATTCATTTTTTTTTTTTTTTAAGAGTTTTCCTAAGAACACAGTGAGGGGAAGCCACTGAGGATTTCTCCTCTCCCGAGCAAAAGCCAATCCAATAAAAACATGCACTGAATTTTCTTATCACTCTGTGTAAGTCAGTGACTCATTACCTTCTTGCTTCTCTGAGTTCTCCACATTTGGGAAGAACTTATCTTTCCAGGACAACTCAAATGAAAAAAGGAGCCATGGACAAACAAGCAGGTAACCAGAAAAATCACTCCTTGCACAGAAATATATATTTTTACTGTCTCAAACAGAACAAAGAGCCTGTCAGCAGCATCATCTTCCAAAAGAGAAAAATCCACAGAAAACACTTTACCTTTTATAAGATACAACTCATTTTCACACTGAAGTTGCACAATTAAATGAAGCCCAAACTTCACTACATATATGATGTAACCATGTTTACATTGCAAAGAACCATAAATTATGCCACAGAGGGCACCACGCAGTATGAGGAAGCATACTGTCTAGCAGAGCAGGGTTCAGGTATCCAACACGCCTATAAGTGCCTTCAACATTAATGTATACTCACTCTGATGTTTTAATATTCAGGTGAAATCAGAAGGCAACACAACTGGTACCAGGTACAAGACTAAGACTGCTATGACTTGCTTTGGAGGTACGGATCTGAAAGTTTAAGATACTTTACAAATTATTCAATGAAGTATTCCATAAAGCGTTCCACAGGATGTTCTTTTTTAAAAAGGTAACAGGTAATAGGTTTTTATATCACTACCCTTACAAAAAAGCTTAAGCCAGCATTTGCAAATTCACCTTTTCAATGTATTTTATTTCAAGAAAACAAGAAGTGGCATCCCCTTTTGGGGATCATAAAATGGGTGAGTATCCTCACTCTTCTATTAATGCATTAGAACAGTAAATAAGAAAAACTCTCAAGATTTCTGTTTCTAGAAATTAGAGAAACTGAATTTAATAAACAAGGGCAGTAAGAGTTACAACACAACCGAAAAAGATAGGAATATCAAACATTAGAGATCTAGAGATTAGGGCCCTAGAAATCCAGTAATTCATAGATAACTGAAATAGTTATTTCACCATTTAATGTTAAGGATTTGTCAGAGAAACAAGACAACCAGCAACCTTTAAAAAGGAAATATTAATAAGGAATTTATACCATCTCTGAGAAGGTAAGGAGGAAGCACATAGTGTTCAGATAATATGCAAAATCGCATTTCTTCACCTAAAGCATGCAACATAATTTGACAGTTAAAAAAAGTCAAACGTACATCCAGAATGTCAAGAAAAAGGAATTGTAATCTAACTCTCCAAATCTAAGCAGACTAGAAAGGACTAACATTTGCTTCATGAAGTCCTATTCTATTCTACTGACATTAGCAGAATTTTTGTTACACTTGAAAAAGTAAAACAAATCAGGAATTCAAAACAATTCTGTTTCTTTAAATCATATTAACACTACATACTTTTATTGTTTTAGTTTGAAGTCTCAATCCATTCAGAGTGTTGATAGCTTTTTCAGCATCCTTGGTGTCAACGTAGTTCACAAAACCATAACCCAAGCTTTGTCCTGATTAAAAAGAAGGAATAAAAGTCATCATTAGTACTGCAGTGCCACACAATGGGTAGCTAACTGTTTTAACGCTACATAGACACACTAAGCAAACATTGCTTGTATTGAAGAACAGTATCTGCTCCAGATACAAATACAAAATTTGTAATGGTCACGGCATTTTCCAGTAAGGTTAGTAGATTTTAAGTAGCTTCTCTGTTCCTGTGTACTGCAGTACTTGTTCTGTTCAACGCAGAAATGGCTACATTCAGTTCAATGGAAGACTTAAAAATGAGTGAGTTTTAAATGTACTTCAGTGTCAGAATTTGAGCCAAATCTGAAGCCAAACACTTTTACAGCTGTCATTCATACAGTACATATAGCCTCTCAGTAACAAGGAGTTTAAAGGCTTCTTTTATTACGATATTCAAAACAACTGGTAATAGTAACTGTTTATGAGTTAAATATCAGTCAAAGATGCATTATTTTCAGGTTGTTTTAGTGATGGAAATTTGGATGGCAGATGGACATAAAGCATTTTTAATTAGCTCTTAATCTCTGAACAACAGACCATTTCTAACCATGCATTCTGTCTAAGCACTTATTAAACTCTTGAGTTCAGCATAAGAGTCCTGTCAACAACTTCAAAACCTATAGTATGCCATCCCTAACGAGCATTCTCCTTTAGAAGTACTTTTAGTGCTAAAGAATGCAATTAGGTATAAAATTTTAACATAGTGATAGTATACCACTTAGTAAGAATATTACCCTTTTATTAGCGCAAACCTTTTCAGAGACACTCCCATACTCTTGACCATTTAAAAAAAAAAAAATAGCTATAGGGAAGCATCCAACATATCTAATTCACAAAATGCTAATTAGAAAGATTATTTTGGATACAGAACAATATAAAAGGATAAACATCATTATATATAAAGAAAAATGGCAATTTATATCCAAAAAAGAACTTATGCTGTATCAAGTTCTTATATGGTATCTATACAGTATGTATTAAACAGCATGTAATGCAAAAACATGATGGGAAGTTGGTACTTGATTCATTATGACAAGAGAGGGCTTACTAACAAGCCCATCACCTCTGGCATCCACAGTTTTATACCAATTATGCTTACCATGGCACCAAAGAAACACAGGCACCATCACCACCCCACCCCCCAAAGCTGCCTCCATTCTTTTCTATCTCCTCCTCAGATGAAATCAGAAGATAGGTTAATATATGCATCAACAAAGAATCCAAACCCGAAGTGGATAAAGTAGTGAGCAACTCGTTCTAGAGAACCCTGTTCTGAGCAGGAAGTTAGACTACATGATCTTCAGAAGTGCCTTCAACCTCAACAATTTCAGGCTCCTGTAACAAACCATACAGAAATATACAGAAGCATTTCTGTATTCATTTACACCTCTACCTAGATATATCCAAGTTTCTTGTCTTGGAAATGCCTTTTTCCTTATTAGTTTGATGACAGTAGAGCAATTTCTATACCTGTCACCTCCATCGCTCCCACCGTCTACAGACACTCTTCCCAACAGTGTCTCCAAAAAAGAGGGAATGTCTTTTTGTGCATGACTTATTTTAGTCTTATCCTAATATAGAAATGCTGATTTTAGGCGTTGTTATTAATCTCCTAAGAAACCCATTTAAACCACAACCTTAAAATATGTTAAATTCTAAAAGAGAAAGCTATTTCAGATAAGATGTTCCAACTCATTAATTCCAGACTGAAAAGAAAGATGGGCAGAAGTTATTTCTACTACCCCTCTGACGAGGTGATCTACTTTTCACATTAAAAACACCCAGACCACTGCAGACAACGAGCATACCCTGCTGTTATAAAGGATTTAATTAATGACCACTGTTCTGGAGACATTCTACAGTTAAGTCGAACAATAACAGAAAATAGCTCTGGACTCTTTCATCTGTGCCTCTTCTGCACCAAACTCCACTCACCAAGACAGAAATCCCCTGCACAACACACACTTGTTTCCAAGTGTGCTTCCAAGTGCTATTACATATTTAGGTATTCTGAATAGTCAGTTTAGCCTTTTGCTGATCTTCAAAATTACAGCCTACTCAACCTTAACACAGACAAGAGACTGACTACTTGAGCACACCAGCTCTTTATTCCATAACAGATCTACAAGCAGTATTAAACTTAGCTTATCCTAAACAAAGGAGTGACAAGAGTTTCTTATTTTTTTTGTGAATTTGTACTTGTGCTGTTAAGAAGAACACATTCACCACCTTCAAGGGTGCTCATGTGCAGGTGAGCAATATTTCAGAAGTTACATGCTCCAGCTGTCAGTTGAGCTTATTCTCTTTGACAGTTCTTGTGGCTACTTCACAGACCTGTTTACAGCTGTTTCTGTAACTTTCTACCAGATTTTATGCTTGGAACACTACAAATATTAGACAATATGGTGCAGAAAAATGCAACAGTTAACTAAATTATTGTTACAACAGTCAGCCAAACTAGGAAAAGTAAAAATGATAAAAAATGCACAGGGTAATTCACAATACTTATCAGAAAAGAATCACGAATAAATTCTTTTTATTCTGCCCAACTTGTTTTGTAAACATTTACTATAAATAATGTACACAGCTGTAAAAGTCTAAAGAAAATCCTCTGCTATACAATATCCAGAAAAAGTCACAAAGAAGTGCTGTCTACAGAAAAAGAGTTCAAGCAAACTGGATGTGATAGAAGTGACACCTGTCCATTTTCAAAGTTTTGCTCTTAAAAGTAGCAGCAATTTCCCTAAAGCAGAATACAGCCATTTCAATAGAATTTCTAAACCAGTATTCTCCTCCTGACAAAAAATAACTCAACTTCCTGAATAATAACAATTTCACTCTAGAACTCAACTTACGTGAAAGGACTCCTTGGTTATTTCCAGCAACTGCTTCAACATTTTTAAGCAGAAGTTTACAGCACATTCCTGTTGCAAGAACTCAATTTTAGAAATAAAAATCACAATGAAGACTTAGGTTGGATTACAGCAGACAAGACTCAAAGGAATAAATGACAAAAAGATCAAGAAACTTAACTGATTGTTTAGCAAAATCCAAGCCAAGTCTAGTTTTACTTTAAGGTAACTCAGAAGGACTGTGGGATAAAAAAAAGATGCGTCACTGCACTGTACGTTTCCATGAGGCACAGCTATTTGCACCACCTAGGAGAAGCACTGAATTACTGAATGCTCAAAGACAATTATAAGACAGCTGACTTCACTTCATCACTGTTAATGACCTATGCAAAGCCTTCTCATGAACTTCAGAGGAATAAGATCTAGAGACAAGGTAATTTTTCCTATTGCCCTGTTACCACCCAATTATTCATAAAAGATAAGAGTTGGTGACATGAAAGAAATAAAAACTAAGTCCTGGAGCTTTCTGAATACTGATGTATCTTACTACCTAGAGAAGTCCCCTGCCGAAAAAGCATTCATGCATAAAGCGCTTGGTTGCACAAAACAGCCCAGGTGTCCTGAGGCATCCCCCACTTCAGTGTTAGGAGATCAACTAGTGAAATCTGTCATGTAAGACTAGAGATTGCTCTAGATACCACAATTAATAGGACATTATTGTTTATGAGCATGAAGCAACACGTCTGGTGTTTTTCTTCTGCTGGTTACTGTAGTCTAAACATTTCCTCTGAAGTCCACTTCCACAGTGAACACAGCTCATCACTGTTCTTTGCAGAGTCTGCTGCTGTTCTCAGCATACAAAGCCCTCTCTACTTCATTATCAATTTAAAGATCATGTATTCTGATTACAGTATGAGGCAAAATTATTTTTCTAGATTCAAATGAAGTGAGTTCTAAAACCTGGTGGTGTCTCTTTGCTACCGCCTGTCTACTGAAAGACAGTTTTAAGGGCTGGGCTGCTAGCGGTGATCACCCATCCAAGGCAGCAATTTATGCCTCAACAGGACAGAGGACAGCACCTGTAAACAGAAACGAACAGCTGAAGGTATAGATGCACGGTAAGATGACAAAGGCTTTACTCTCCCTAAATAATCCATACACAATTACCATGTCTTAGCAGTTTATTCTTTTCAAATAATTCTTACTGTGTCTAAGCTTCTGTTTCTCTGGGAACTCCAGAACCTATGTTCCCATGTATTTGAGTCCCTGTTTGAAAATAAAAAAACCTGTAAGATGTTCCAGACTTCATTATCTACCCCCACTAAGCACACTTTGTTCCTTCCAACAAACCTCTAATAAGATTCTACTTTTATGTTAAAAAGTTACACAGATCAAGCCATTTAACCCAACCACATCAGGTCAACAATTCAAATATTTTCTGAACATCTGCCTGTTCTCTCAACTTCCCTGGGAATCTGCCTGCCTGATAACTTCTCTTGCAACAAAAAGTATACTTGCCAACAATAATTTCCTTCATTTTTCTCTTTGGAAGCAGTTACAACAGCCACAGCTTATTAAAGCTTTAATAGACCATAACAGCTTAATTCTTCCATTGCTGCACTGTCAAAAAAACAAAAAAGGGGGGAACAGAAAGGACAAGAGTCTTTAAATCAGACAGCTTCTTTAATGGCAAAGTTGAAGAGATCCTCTCCCTTTGACTACTATACCCATAAACCAGGAAAACACGTGATAGTAAATAAAGTGGGAATACAGCACCCGAAAAGAGAAAACTTCTCTAACTAGATTGATACAGAGGACTGTCTGTGTAGCTGCTTCCTTGTGCATTGGCCAAAGAACGGCAGTCTATGTTATAGCAGGCACTGGAGTGCTGGATTGCTGCAAAAATGTTTGTGTTATATTTTCCACCTATGAGCTATCACTCAGTTTCAGGAACAATATTCCCTAAAGCCTGTGGGCACTTCAGAACCAAGAAAAATAAATACTGTTTCAGATAGAAACAGCAAAGGCATCATCTTCAAGTGCTCTTTACTCAATGCTACAGGGCAGGGTGCATAATAAGGCCAGAAAGACTGAGCTGATGAGGCCCTCTACAGACAGATCAGAGCAACTTTGCGTTCACAAGCCCTGGTTGTCCTGCGGGACTTCAACCGACCCAGTACCTTAGGAAGGGACAACACAGAGCAATCCAGGAGTTCCCAGAATGCACTGATGATAACTTCCTTCTCTGAATGACAGAAGAGCCATTAAGGAGAGGTGCTATGCTGGATTTTTTCTCCCAACAAGGAGGGGCTGGTGGGGAATGTCAAGCTCAAGGGCAGATTGGGCTGCAGAGACCATGTAATGGTGGAGTTTGAGATCAGTGAAGTTCAAGATCCTTTGGGCAGAGTGGAAGGTGCACAGCAACCTCACTACCCTAGACAGGATAAGAGATTTTGGCCTCTTCTGGGATCTGCACAGTAGAGTACCCTGCTCAATATTCAAGGATCACGTCCTTCAAGCTCAGGAGTGATGCATTCCAACAAAGAGGAAGTCAGGCAAAAATGTCAGGAGGCACGTATGGATGAACAAGGAGCAAATTTGAACACAAAAAGGAAGCCTGCAGAGGGTCAAAGCAAGAACAGGTTGCCTAGGAGGAACACAGAATATTGTCCAAGCAGCCAAATTCTACGATTCTGTAAAAGTTAAAACCTGGAAAGAATTAAATCTGGCCAGGGATGTTGAGGAGAACAAGAAAAGCTTCTACAGGTATACTGCTAACAAAAAGAAGCCCAGGGAAAATGAGGGTCCTCTCTGGAACTGAAGACCTGGTTATCAGGGACATGGGAAAGTCTGAGGTACTGGAAATTTTTTTGCCCCAGCCTTCACTGGCAAGTGCTTCAGCCACACTACCCATCTGGCAGAAGGCAAAGGCAGGGACTAGGAGAATGAACGATCACCCACTGCAGGAAAGCAAGTTCAAGACCATCTAAGGAACCTCAAGGTGCACAAGTCCATGGGACTTAGTAGGATACACCCAAGGGTCCTAAGGGAACTGGTGGAAGAAGCGGCTAAGCTACTTTCCATAATATTTGACAAGTTGTGGCAGTCTGATGAAGTTCCCACTGACTGGAGAAGTGCAAACATAAGCTCCATTTTCAAAAAGGGAAATAACGATATGATAAAGTAGGAGAACTACAGGCTAGTCAGTCTCATCTTTGTGCCTGAGAAGATCACGAAGCAGATCCTTCTGGAAACTATGCTAAGGCAACATGGTTTCCCTAAGGGCAGATCGTGCCTAACAAATCTGGCAGCCTTCTACAACAAGGTTAAAATGCTAGTGGGTGAGGGAAGAGCGACTGACTTGGCCTATCTGTAGTTGCACAAAAAAGTCTGACACTGTCCACAGAACATCCTTGTCTGTAAGCTGGAAAGACATGGATTTGGTGGATAAGGAATTGACTGGATGGTCACACTCGAAGAATCAATGGCTTAGTGTCCAAATAGAGGCCTACGACAAGTGCCAAGCAATGCT